TGTAACCGATGCCGCCTTCTTCTTCAAACGAATTAGAGAGAAGCTTACTGGGCTATGTGCTACTTATGTTGATGACTGTCTACAAGCCGGCACTGAAGAGTTTTGTCAACAGGCCAAGTGTGTCGAAAGGAAATTCAAATGTCGACCGAGGGACTACGACAAGGTCCAATTTTCAGGCATTAAGATTGAATCCACACCTAACGGATTCCAAGTACATCAGAAGCACTATATCTCCAAGATTAAGAACATCAGTAAGGAAATTTCTTTCAAAGACTTTCGCTCACTTCGTGCCCAACTCTCTTGGGCCACTCAGTCCCGCCAGATATTGCATGTTCTAGTGCACAGGTAGTTCAGGTTACTGAAGAAATCTTCAACTCGGACCCCACGAAATACTGTAAGGGACTTAATTCTGTTGTAAAACATCTCCTTACCAGTACAGATCAGGTCCTCAAATTCCCTAAACTGGACCACAAAAGTCTTCGGTTACAAGTCTATTCCGATGCATCAAACGGAAACAACCTTGACGGATCTTCTCAGTTAGGATATATCATTTTCCTTGCTGATGCAAATGATAATTGCCAACCATTGTTCTGGTCGTCGCACAAATCCAAACGCATTTACAGATCTGTCCTGGGAAGCGAAACAATGGCTTTTGCTGACGCTTTCGATATGGCCTTCGCAATGAAAAACGATCTTCACACCATTCCATCGCTCGACATTCGGATCTTTATGCTTACGGATAGTCTATCCCTGTTTGATGTTATCACTAAAGCAAAGATAACATCCGAAAGGCGACTAATGATCGATGTTAAAGTTGTCAAGGATGCATACCAGAAACACGAACTGCACGCCATAGGCTTCATTCGCTCCGAACACAAACCCGCAGATTCTTTGACCAAGGTCCAGAAAAGTGATATACTGCTCGAAATGACACAACGGTCAATTCTTACACATCCTATCGAACAGTGGATCAATCTCAATTCGTAAACACATGACATATGTCACGAAAAAAGTTTGGGGAGTGTTGGACTTATTGACTAGACTACAGTAGATATCACGGTTCTATGTTATCAATATCAATTCAGGGATTATGGAGGCTACATTTAGCTATCAACGATACAGTCCCTTAAGGACGTGCCACCTACAATTCTACGTGCCACCTACAATTCTACCTGTTTTAGGGTGTAACCGTTTAGACACATTTCGTGGGTGGTGCAACTTCCCTTTTATGGTAGTGCGCCTACTTTTGTTGTAGAGTCAATAGGACTATAAAGCCTGGTCGAAGACGCTACTCGTCTTCGACCTCAGCATATTCGATCACCTGAACCATCAACCCAACAACCCCGTCCCCTGACCGTGTTCACTCTCTGTAGCGGTTCTGAGGCAATAGCCTGCCGCTCCTCCCCTTCCCTTTAAGGTAACCCTATTTACTACCCTTTTACTCTTCACCAAAATCCCCTCCGGACCGCCCCTTTCGGTCTGTCTCCCGACAGGGGTTGCTACCTTGCAAGAGAGATGCATTTTGAATAAAATGTTGAGCGAATAGACGCGTATTTCCGTGAGGCCAACCTGAAACACAGATCATTGGTTGATTACCTTGCAGAAGCAAATCTCGTAAACCTGTTGGATCTAGGCTTTAAGGCGAGCAAGTCATTGAACAAATTGCGAAGCACTGAAACTGTTCTGAACGTTGATCTGCTTTCGTACCTGAGAGTTGTCGCCCTCCCCATCGCCGCATGTGTTTCGAGGATGGTTTCTCACCACCGACTAGGAGTCGTACATACGGTACTGGGGCACAGTATTTAGGATCCATTGTTGAGGATCCATTGTTGAGGATCCATTGTTGAGGATCCATTGTTGAGGATCCATTGTCGAGGATCCAGTATTGAGGATCTCTACAGTTGTGTCCAATAGCAACCGTGTATTGCTTTGTCGCGCCTTGAAGGTTTCTTTTCTCTCTTCTGTTGCACCCTGAAAAGAAACTAATCTAGATTCTCTCACGCATCTGGTCGAATTTTCAATGGCGGAGAAAAACAAAGGCATTTGGGTTCGCATCGGTATTGACCAGGACGCAAGCATGCAACCGAGGTATCGGCGGAGGTGTTGGGAAAGTAAAAGATTATCTCTTGCGGCACTGGTTTTAATCGTTGCGGTGCGAGAGCCAGCAGAGCATAATTGATGATGAGTTTCCCCTGGAGTATGAAGATTTGGAGTCGAGTGCTGCGGTGCACTCAACGGAGTTGCAGCGTGGTGTAATTAATGTAGGCTTGAATAAGAACTGAGTGCGGTCGGGAAACGCATCTGAGTCGAGGGATACAAGTTCGTGGTGGTCGAGGCAGCGGTTGCAGAGGAGGGGAAGGGCGAGGATGTTGAGGAAGCGTCTAATGTACGATATAAGGTTACTCGGCACCACTGTAGTAAAATCGGTTTCGATGGTGCAAAAGGTGTTGTTCTCTCTTTTGAGTGAGCAGGATTGCGGGAAGAGGCAGGGGCGCGAGAGAGAATGGGGCTTGCTCCAGGATATCAAAACGAAAACACACCGTACAGTACAGTTGGTACTGTACAGTTGTGTGCTGTAGGTGCCGTGAATTTACTTGGGCTGGGGTGCACGAGTCACGGGGATGCGTGTCGAAAAGTTGAAGGAATAAGTTGCAAGGGTTGGCCCAAGTGGCGATAATGCAGTGTGTGATGATATCACACGGTAGAGTACGTACGTGTCTTCTGTACCCTCGTACGTTCCCACTATAAAATTTACGATAACTGTACCATGTTCTGTAGAGTAGTCATTATAAGAAGGGGGGCGAGATGTGGTTTTTTTTAATAGAAAAATGCAGTCATATCGATCTACAGCGCACCACATCAAATCGATCTACAGCGCACCACACGTACGTGTCAAGAGTATATATCATACTATGTCGATTTTTCCCCACTGAAGATGATTGGATAATTAGAGAACCAGAGGTAATGGCTATCAATAGGAGGTAAGGAGGCCGGGAATCAGATTTTCAGGTGAATTGAAGGCTACAGAACAAGCATGGGTGGCGATCGTTTCCAGATCCGGTGGCCACAGTGGAATGATTCCATGCAGTTTGGCCCAAATTTCCTCGGCGTAGCCCATTGGGTGTGAATGGGGCATTAGCGTGGTCCGGCAAAGCGGACCGCCGGGATGGACGCGGACAGCGGAACAGGTGTTCTTGCGGTGGGAGAGGTCCCGAGGGGATGTGAGCGACGGTGCATGTGGAGCATACAGCAGTGCTGGGATGGAAGACGGGTGGAACGAGTTGTGCGGTGTTGTTGTCGGTGGATGGGGCAATGTGGTGTTGAGGGAGGATTGGAGGGGCGTCCTGCGCCACGCCGTGTTGATTGTTGGAACGATCACAACAAGTACGAGAGCTTCAACCGTTTCAATTGGTGCCATCCGTGTGTTTTGTGCGCGCGTCGACAGCTTCTGTTGTTTTTTTTTTTTTTGTCGTTGTGAATGAGCATTGCGTGAAACAAAAAAAAAAAAAAGCATGACACTGAAAATATTAAAACAAAACAAAACAAATTACCTCGTCGTTGCGCAGCGGCACTCTCACGGCTCCCCCACGGCACGCACGTTGTGGTCGAATTTTTTCGCTTTTTTATTCGGGCCCGGCTCGCACACCCACCCGCACCATCGCACCCCCCGCGCAAAGGCGCAAAGAGCACCCTTCACTCTTTTTCGACCCTGTCGCCCCTCCCTTCATTTCGCGATTGTTGCCCCGATGCCAATATTCTCCATCGCCCCCCCTAAACACCTCGTGGAAACCCAGGCAACCCGTCATCACTTCTCTTATTCCCTTCTCTACCTTTTCTCTCCCCCACCATCTCACACCTCGGTCGCAGGATTCCTCTCCGCTTCCGCCTTTTTCTTTCTACTCTCCAGTTCCTAGTTTTGTGACACCCCCCGCCCACCTTCCCCCTCCAAAGTATACCCCCTAGCCACCCACCACAAATTCGCTCTCCGTCCCACTGCCACCACCTTCCCCTTCGCATGCCGCTTCCCCGTTTCTATACCTGTACTCGTTTACCGCGCTTTCCTTCCTCTCCGCTCGATTCGGTCGCCTTCGCCAATCTCTCATCGACCGATTCGGCTTCGCCCGGCTTACGTTCCATCTTCTGTACAGTACATCTCCATCGAACGCGACGACGGAACATCCCCAGATCGTCTTCCTACCCTCTCCCACTCTACATACTTGCAACCAGCCACCCCCACCATCTCCATCGTTCATCATTTCTCTTAGCTCATCACATCTTCTGACCGACTTCGGTCTCAGGCACCGCAGTTCAATTCCGCGCGCCAAATCCAGTTTTGTACTCGCGTATCGAACCCCCGTTTTCCGTTTGACCGTTTTCCAATCGAAATCCCTCTCGTAACAATCCTTTGGTCCTTTCATTTGCCGTCCTCGTCGTTTGATCAATTGTTTTGACGCGTTCGGTACCTTAATTGCTTGACTTTTGTATCTTTGCCAGCTGACAATCACAATCAAGACGACCTTCCAAATTCGGACAACGCTTTCGCTTGCGCGAGCCTCGGCCGCGTCATGGCCACCCAGGCCGATGCAGTGCTTCGCGCATTCATTCTTGATTACCTTAATAAGCGTGGCTTAACCGCGGCCGCGGAAGGCATGCGAGTCGATCACATCACGAAGGGCGAGCAGACCCTCGATCACCTTCCCTTCGATTCCCAGGATAATTTTCTAGCCGTGTGGTTTGGCATGTTCTGGGATGTCTTCTCTGTTCGGATCAACACCAGAACGTCCAAGTTTAGATGGCAGTCCAATCCACAAGTGCAACAGCCTTCACAACAACAACATCAACAGGGACCACCGCACCAACAACAACACCCTTCCCAACATCTCCAACAGTCCCAGCACCAACACCCTTCTCAAAACCCTTCATCCCAGCAAAATCAGCTTCCCCTACAAACTTCCGATCCCACTACTATTCAACAGTCTCAAGTCCCAAATGCCGCCCAAATGCTCACTCTCGTTGGTGTCAATGGAGCGGGCGCCTCTGGTCCCGCACCACCAACGCAAAATCAGAATCGACTCGTGCCTGCAAACATTGTTCAAAACTCGCAAGCCATGTTTGCTGCTCGGGCCCCTATGCAACAAGTACGTGCGAGAGCCCAGCAGCAACAGAAGCAACCCCAACAACAACAAGTTCCTCAGAACATGATAAATCATCCAGTCTTCAGAAATTCACAAGGGTCGATGCAAACTGCAGCACAGCAGATGCAGAACCAACAGCAGCGACAAAACCAACTGCGGCATCAGCAGCAGCAGCAAGCGATATTGCAGTCATCGCAGCGGACACAACATAATGTGTCTAGACCTGCCAGAATGCACAACTCTTCAGTAGACAGTCGCCGCGCCATTTCTCAAGGGCAACTGCATTCGCTATCACTGGACTCAACAATTCCCGGACAGAACGCACCTATGAGTGCTGATCAAGCTGTAGCGATGTCTGGGGACGTGATTGATGTGAGAGGGGCAATGTCCTTTGACGGGCTCTTTCCCACAGTTGGAACCCGAACGTCACCCTCTCGCAGCACTGGAGCGGCTGCAGCCCAGGCTCCGGCTCAGGGAACCGCTTCAGGCCGTGCATTAATGCAAATGGTGGGGGTCCCGGCTGCCCAAGCACCGATTGGGTCAAATGGCCTCCAGATTAGAGCAAATGGCGGAAAACCTCGGTCATTTCCGGGACATCAGCTCGCTGGTAGCGAGGCGCCAAGCACTGCTAGTCGGAGAGGAAGCATGGATATGTCTGTCGACGGGCGACCATACGAGGATACAGCTATTGTTGACGAGTCTCAACCAAGGGCGGGAGCCAATGTGGTCACGTCCGGGAAGAGACGTGCGGGTAGCCAAAGTGTATCTAGAAAATCAGGTGGTACACCGCAACCCGACGAGACTGGCACTCGAAGAACCGCTATTGGGCCCGGGTCAGAGAGCGGTGGTCCGGCTAAGAGACAGCGTTCAACAGGCACATTTCAGAGGAATGCGGGCACTTCGCCCAGTGCGCAACTCTCGAAACAGTTGTCGGGTGGTAATATAGAAGCAATGTCTCGCACTTTACCTCAAAATGGTATGCAGGGACATGCCACTGGGACAAGCCGCGCGCAGGTCATGCCCATGCAGAGACAGAGACAAACATATAGACCAAATGCGGATCGACGGAATAACGCCCAGTTCTATTCACATCTGGGCGCTAGTGAGAACCCAATGGCGCGAGGCGGAAATAGATACTCTGGGAGGACGAATGGAGTACCAAACCCTCCACCGTACCCCCAGAATGATCAGTCCCAGAGTAATCCCCATCGCGATGCATTTCTTCAAAACCAAGTGCCAAGTGGGAGACGAACTCCTCTAAGCAACGCAAACACGAGTGCCAGCAACGCTGGGAAAGGCGCAGATGGGCGGGCACAAGCAAGGGCTCCAAAAGGTAGTGACAGTAACATTCCATTGCCACAAGCACAGCAGAGCGGAGTGTCCTATCCTGTTGCGCCATTGCAAACCGATCCCCGGTTGATGCTACTAGGGTCATCAGATATGCTAGGGTCATCAGATATGATGAATTACATTGCGAGTAGTGACTTACCTGTTGGGCAAGTATATGGGATGCCGCCCAATGCCAACTTTCTCGATCTCAGGAACGGGGGGCCGGCATCAAAGAAGGCTGTGCAAGGTCAACAGGAAGCAAGCATAAGGAAGAATGTGGTACACGACCAGCAGTCTGGCGTCGGTACAGACGCACAACAAACAGATGTGCAGACGGCTGCTCAGCTCGTACGCAAAGAAGCAAACAGTTCGCACCGAATGAGACCGGCATTCAGAGGAGAGTTGCTCAAGCAACAAGGCGCGATGCAGATCGGGAAACAGGAGATGCCTCTGACAAATGAAAAGAAAGGCAAAACAGAGACAAACATGAGCGGAATCGACAAACAAAACCGATTCGGCAACGATTTGAAACGCAACGGTTCTAGCCGTGCCATGAAAACAATTGAGACTACGGGAGGGAGTAGAGGTCGGCACATGGATGGCGCAAACAAGAATAATGCATTGAACACATCATCGGGAGCGCTTCCTCACATGGGACTGAGTCCATCACTAGTCGGCTCGGGATCAAAGAGAGATAGAGTTGCCACCGAAGCAGATATGGAGAACCGCTCCACGAAGAGCGATAGACAGGCATCTGGAACTCGGGGAGGTGGAACACAGTCGCAGAAGAGTACAGCCTCCGGTGGAAGTGGTGCGGTTGAGGGCCGTACGCAGGCGGCGAATTCTTCTGGTACAAGGCGAGGACGGGGGCGATCAAGGGGTCGTGGTTCCGGTGGTGGTCGTCGCGCTCGTGGAGAGCGAGCTCCTCCACGAGGAGGAAATGGGTCTCGCGGAGGAACTAGTGCTCAGGCGGCGCGCAATAATGCACAGGAACAAAAGAATGCTGTGACGGCCAATTTGCAACGAAGCGCAGAGGCATCTCGTACATCACAAGCCGGCGCAGACCGGATGCTAGGAAGTTCATCAATGCTGATGCCGCCACGAGGGAGCAGTGCTACTCATGAGAACCGGTCTCAAACCCAAAAAGGAGAACGAGGCGCCAGGGTGAGCTCCAAACACGTCGAGGAGACGGATTTGCAACGAGCCCCGAAGTTGCCGTTTGATTTGGGTGACGCTAACGCTACGGCAGAGTCCCGAGGACCAGATGTCTCTGGCGACCAGCAACCATCCGCAAATCATATGCACTCTGGATTGGAATTCTTCCCACAACCGAGCATAGGTGGAGGCGGTCGGACTAACGGAGATTTAAGTAATGACGCCGGAGAGAAGGCGTTCGAAGTACAGCCACTGAACTTCATGCCTGGAGACGGAAAGCTTGGAAACCAAAGCGGGAGCAATTACGGCTATGAGATGTCTCCTTACATGGCAAACGGTGTTGACGATACAGATCTCGGGGACATGATGAGTCCACAGATACCTGCCAATCTGGGATTCGGACCACCGCCGGATTTGGAAGATGCTGGTATGCTAGGTGTAGATCCCGGTGATCTAGCCATACCTGGCCGAAGCCGATCGTGAGCTTGGTCATATCCGTATTGTGTGTGTTTAAGTGCGTTGACTGTGAATCAAAGACTATCTATATACTTATACACGTACATTGAAAACTAAAGCTCCGTCACACAGTGTGGACCCCCGTTAGCTGTGCATGCGATCGGTAGCGAGAGTACGCATTTCTAGGCTAAAGGTCAGTCCTGTAATCTACTTTTTGAAATATTATCCCTTTCGTGTCGTTCGTGTCACTCGTGCCATTCGTGCCACTGCGCAGAAAACTCGCGCACCGTTGTTTAATACACTCCCCGAAATAAGTTTTGGACCACACCAAAATTTTTCTCCACAGTAAAGTTTATAAGGCCGTGTTTACATCCCTCAGATCAATTCGCTACTAGTTACAATACAGCACAGTACCCTTCTCACTGGCTCAATCTGTGACACGGCTCAAATTGGGACACCGAAATTATCGTGTAGCCGCGCTGGATATTTTCTCGCATATGATCGTGCCAACCGCAAGCAGCCCACCGACCTCATAGTTAGTCAGATCGCCTCTTTGCGCGTCTCAATCACCAGGGTCTCCTTCTATCCCTTCCAAATGCCTCCGTCTATGCGTGCCCAAACGCAAAGGCACCGACGGCGACAAGAAGGGAGAAAGGTGGAGCGCAGCAGCAAAAGGGATAAGGCGTTAGAACTTGTGCAACAAGGCCATTCAATTCGGAAGGTCGCGACAATGTCTGGCGTCTCTCGAGGCACTGCATTTCGAATAAGTCAAAGTCATAAGACATCCGATCATGCAGCACTGGAACGACTCATAGATCCTGAACAGTTCCCGCGGGGAAGACGAAATATACTCCATTCAGCGGAGTCGCTGATTGTAGACCGCCTTTTGCTTGCCGCTCGAGGAGGGTTTGCTGTAGACAATGTTGGATTGACGTCCGTTATGGCACGTGCAGCAGCAGATGGCCGTCCAGGATTTGCAAAAAGCATTCCTTCTCCAGATGCGATACGCTCCTTCCGCGCACGTAACAGACAGCTCGCCTACCGAGTGGCTGAAAATGTTACATCCGCACGCCTGTCAGCTCAAAACAAGAGTCATTTCTTGACGCTAAAGACGGTACTGAATGATGTCAATAAAATAAATCCCGGTATGCTTACGGATCCACGTAAAATATGGCATTTTGACGAAACAGCCGTTCTTGGTGAGTATGGAAAGAAAACGAGGTGCTATGCATCTTCCTCACACAACCATGGAGGTGCGCGTCGGTCGGAAATGGATTCAGGGAAACATGTCACGGCAGGAATTGCCATCGCCGCCTGTGAAAACGTTTCGCCACTTTTTCTGATTGCAAGCAGAAAACGGAAAATGGCTGCTTGGCTTGATCCGCTTACCCCAAATGACTTCCAACACGCAGATGGATCTTCACATTGGCTTTGTGAGGAACATTGGTGCCCACCAGAGACAGCATTATGCGTCACAAAGGCCGGGTTAATGGACCGTGAAATTATCGACAGTGTTGTGTGTCACATTAGTTCACATGCGCGCAAACAGTCCTGCAGGATGAACACATTCTGCTTCTCGTAGATGTACATAGCTCCCGTGAGGGAGTGGAGTGGACGGAAACGTGCAAGAGACTCAATATTATGGCAGTTGAGCTCCGGGCAAACACGACCCATATGCTACAACCATGCGATCAAAAGACTAACAAAGTTTTCCAACAAGAAATACGTAGGACAAGGGATTTATTGCTGAACATGAGCCATTTCTCATGGGCAAACACGGCTGTGAAAATTAAGCTGGCGGTCGCTGGTCACAAAGCTCTAACCTCAGATATCGCCAGAGCCTCGTTTCGGGAAGCTGGGCTCTGGTCCATGGATTTTCGCTTCATGTTATTTTTGGATGACAACAGCACTCGAAAATTAAACAGAAACCAAGGTGAATCTCCTGGGATGGGGTTGGCAATGCTTCATGACGCAGACGGCAGCACTATCTCGCGACGAATTTGAGCAATTCGTTTGATGAAAAATATTCATGCTCTTACAGACGGTCAGTTTTCTGCTCCTCATACTTTGGCCGAGGTTTCTGTCGCTCTCAATAGGGAGTATGTCTTGCGTAACATTCTAACAAAGAATATATGCCTGCCAAAAAACCGCACACCTACGAAATCTAGGAGACAATTCCTCGCAACAGGAAACTCAGCGGCCCTCTTGACAGTTGGCAATTTGAAGTCTGTTCGTGCTCACTTGGATGGGCGGACTCTTCTAAAATCGCCCGTGGCCGACGGTTGTCACATTCAGGAGGATAATGTTGAGAATGATACTTCAAACAAAGAAAACATTGACCCTCAGAAACATCTGAAAGCGCAGTCAGCCGTGTCGCCTTTCGACGACATAGTTAGCGACGACTTGCCAATCTCGCGATGGCCAAGAGCCCGAAAACAGCGGATGCATGTTGAGGAAGGCGAGTTGTTGAGGATTCGAAAGCACACGGCAGCGTCTGCTTTGTTGGGACTCTCCCATTACAGATGAAGCGTGCAACACATGTCGTCTGCCGTCGTCCCACTTTGACCCTGCCACACTTTGGAAAGCAAATTTGTTTGCCAAATAAAGGCAATTTTCCCCGAATACGGACTGCATTCGCATATTTTATCATAACATCCTATGCGTCCCACATTGAGCCAGTGAGAAGGGTACAGTATTGTAACGAAAATTGTAACATCACACGAATTTGGTTTGACAACCATTGGCACTAAAACGAAATGCATCTCGAGGGCCAGAAAATCTCTCGTTACATGTTTCACTCGAACGCCAACACCCTGGTTTTCTTTTTAGTCACACAGTACAGTACAGGTCGGATAACTTGGGAGGGATGCGTTCTGCTTTCATCGGGGGTGGCGGAGGCTCGTTGAATTCGAAGTGAATGTCCCCCGGTCAGAACGCGTAGTTCGGTCAGTTGGGCCACTGCCTTTTACATTGGGCTGGAAGTGAAGCAACATTACAGAAGTAAAGAGGCCCCCAGGGCGTAACAAAACTTTGTAACATGAGCGTAACACGTGGTCTTGCCTTTTTGGCTTCCGACAGTAGAGGGTTTACGCACCTGGATTTCGCTAATTCTAATTAAGCTTTTCAGAAATAGAACATGAAGATAGATGGTCGTTTACGGTTGGAGCTCCCGCGCACACGAGATATCAGCGGTAGCAAGAGTACTCTTGACTATCTATCGAAAAGTAAACAAAGAAAGAACAATATCAGAGAATAGACATGTGAGGGAAGCCCAGGGAAAGGGCGTCCTGACGGGGATGGATGGCCAAAAGAGAAATAGACATAGCCGAGAAGTCACGAGACTCTCACCCGGCCGTCGGCGATATGTAGGACAGTGCACGCTCGGTCGAATGCCAGGTGTCGGCATGTCACTCGCTACTCCCTGGACAGCTTCACCGGCGCGGAGCGCAAAGCGGAGCTGAGTGTGCGAGCGATGCGGAGACGGAGGCGTGGTAGACTGCTTGGCCTTGGGGCAGCATATGGGCCAAGATAAGGCGCGACACGACGGTGACAGAAATGCTACTATAAAGTAGACCTGTAGCATCTCCATAGATACCCAGTCCAAACGATTCATGATCCAAGCGTCTGTGAATCCGAGTCCGATTCGCGCGCTGTGTGACGAATAAAAGAACCCCTTTGGCGGAACAGCGTCAACACGCAGCAGCGACAATGACATGGCGGCGTTCAAATTCGCAGTCCCCAAGCGCGTTTCAGCTCGGCGGTTGAAGAAACCAGCATTGGCCGGCCGCTGTGTCTTCCACCTGAACATCAACAGCCCGGGAGCATCCCATTCGGGATTGCGACGGTAGGAGAGTCGCGGAGGGCGTTGATAAGACTTTGGCTTTGCGATGCGTCACGGCCACATCCACGCTAGCATCCGTGACATCAATGTCTTCTGCTGCCACGTGTGCCACGGAAATTGACCTGCATTGAAAAATAAATGCGAAAACGACCATAGCGCAGGAGCCTGTAGCATAAACACCCCTAAACGGATAGGGGTGTATGCTTAGTCCTGGAACACCCGTACGTACGAGAAGACGGGGGAAGTCGGACCAGCTAACGAAACCGGAGCACGGGCCCGGGTAGCGTGGTAGAGCGGGATCGGGGGGAGGACGCGCACACGTGCGGGCCGATCTACGCCTCGACGCCCCGGAGCAGCGCTGCCTTACGTTCCAGCGCTGACGGGCGGAGGTGGATCTAGGCTCGCTCGCGTGCTTGCGCGTCCTCAACCCACGCTCGGTCTCGCCTTAAGGTAGCTAACGGAAGCTTCCTTAGGATAAGCTGGAAGGCAGACCTAGGCGGTAGGTCGTGAACAAGTCCGTGCTTGTCCCCCTTCGCCGCCGGTCCGCTCCGTTATTTAATATACAATTAGTCTATCGTAACTTAGTACAGTACGTACTGTACTATGCGGTACTACAGTAGTCGGCACTGTCAGCGGACAGGGCTGACTGTATACGCGTCGTACACGTATGGTACACGTGGGGGCGCGTGCGCCTCTACACGTGTGGTACAGGCCCTCTGTAAGGTCCGTACCTTACAGAGCCGGATCCAATTTCTAATCTAATCCTTTTGGTAGTTATACTACACCACCCCCCCTCAAGCGTGGACGTCCACGTCCACACGTGCCTGAGGGGAGTGGAAATGCCCGAGCTTGTAGATATCACGCGCCTTCCTCTTAGCCCTCACGACCGCGTCCAGTGGTCCTTATCCTCTTCATCGCGACGCGCGGTCGTGCGCTCGCTAACCGATCGTCTCTCCCTATCTGCCTTGCGCCTCTTCCCTTGGGCCCCGCGATCAGACGGCTTCCTCCGCTTGGAGCTTCCGTTCCGCGTGGCGGTCTCACCGCCTCTCCGCGCTGCCTTCGTCGCGACGTCCGTTGATTTCTCCGTCATGTCGGATCCGCTGACGTCGGTGCCTGTCATTCACCGTCCTCTGCCGGACGGTAGCACCGACCCCCGTTCTTCCGCCCCGGCCACCACGGGTACGTACCCGATTGCCGACGTCGCGCCGAGAGGCGGGCGTCCTCCGAATCATGCTGCGCCTACTGTACGCGCAGCGACGTCCCTGCCTCCGTTCCAACAGGGGCGCCGGTCACGCGAATCCACATTGTCTGCGGAGCTGGGTGTCGTTGCCCTCGCTGCCCCCGTGATCACGCCACAGTCCGACCCGCCCGTCGAGGGCGCTGTTCGCCGCGGAGGTCCGAGGGACGCGGTCGGGGGCGTCGAGCGGGCCTGGCACGAGTCAGGCCCCGTTGGGGGTGAGCGGCCTCGCGAAGCATCCGCGTCGGTACGCGGGAGTGAGACGTACAGGGCGGTCCCGGGCTCGTACGGGGTTTGTGGGAGTTGTCGGCGTCCTGGGGCTCTTCCCGAGTCGACTCGGGATAGTGGTGGCCTCGATCAGGAGGCCGCAGCAACCACTACGTTGTGGTTAGGTGTGCCGCTCGAGCGGTCGACGCCTCTCCCTCTCAGCCGTCTGAGGTATGCGTGGCGTCGTCACGCCCGGTCCGGAATCACCGTCGGCGACATCCCCTCGATGACGCAAGTTCGTCCCGACTTGTTACGTATTCGCACAATATACGAGAAGGGACTGGCCGACGAGACCTCGCTCGCCTTGGCACGTTTTCTAGGCGAGGGGAGCGGCGCTCCGTATCAGCTACCGGACGAGATTCCGAGTGATCGAACGTTCGCCTACAGTTTAGGGGAGGTGGAATACGTCGACCGCATGGCGGTGTACTTGTTCCACCCCGGCCCCCGTGCGCCTCGACGATTTGTCCTTGCCGAAGTGCCGGGGTTGTACGTGAGCCCCCGGCCGTATGCGTACTCTAAGACGCGGGCGGCTCTGCAGAAGTCCGCCTGTTCGTTAATGCGGCTGCATTCCATCGCCGTGGCCCCGCATGACTGGTCGGCTTATCGTCAGGCGGGGGAGGCAGATGGTCGCGTCCTCCAGTCGGCCTCGTTCGAGCGAGGGTTATCGAAGAGCGACTTCCCGGGCTTACCGGAAACGATTCTGGACGCTTTCCCGTCCCTGGGAGTACACGTGTTACTCCCATTCGCTCTAAAACACTTCGGGTCGCTTGTGAGGACCCCCGACATCCCGCACGCGATGACTTCCTCCATAACGTTGAGCGGGAGTGGGCTTGGTCCGTTGGAAACGCATTCGTAAACGAGATTTCCATCAACGGACGAGTCTTCGTACAGCCCGGTGCGGTGCTGTCCTTCCTCGGGAGGGTCGCTCCGGGGCTCCCCGACGTACCGTTGCACCCGCTCCAGCAGGGCACACAGCACGTGCCGTGGTCTTATTCCTTCGTGCTCGACGTGATGCACCGGTCCCTCGACAAGGCAGAGTGCCATCAACGCTCTTGGACAGATTATACTACCGGAATCCGAAGCGTGTTCCTGGCGTACGACGTGTGTGCAGACACTTTCGTGGCCCGCCCCAATCAATCCGGCGGTGGCCATACCCGTGGTGGCGGCGTCGGATCCGCGGCTCGGGAGGCCCGGAGGAAGCGATATAGGGACCTTGATAGCGAGACTCGGGCGACTCCGTTCGGTGGGTCGAATCCTTTTCGCACTCCGCTCACGTCCGACGCGAATTACGGTGCTACGACGGGGTCCATTGCGCCGCCTCTTCCTCCTCTGAGCAGAACCGGAGGGCCCTTCGCAAGGGAAGGTCCCGTCCAGCACCTCACCTTACCGCCGGAGGAAGTCAGGGCCGTTCCTGACCTTGCTCGGGCGTTGGGGAGCTCGACAGACCGTACGTGGCCGGTCGATGGATTGCTCGGCACTTTAGCAGCATGGTACTTGGCCCGTAGTGCCGAGGCGCGTCGCCTTGTATCGGAACGAGCTGCCCTCTCCTCGCAGCTACAGCGGGCGCAGAGCGAACTGGAGGGTCTACGTACGACCTCCCTTAACCAAGCCAGCTGCCTGGAACGCGCCAGTGCGGAGCGGGATCGGTACCGACGTGAGAGTGACGAGCTCCGGTCCCTCCGCTTGGGCTCGTCTTCTCATCCTCCGCCGACCTCGGCGCTGCGTCAGCCTCTCCGAGACCCCTATGAAGGCGTGGGGTACGTCCCCCCTTCCGACCCGACGGGGCCGGAACGTCCTTGGTCCCATCAACGTGAAGTGGCTATGCCACCCTTGGACGAGGTGGAAACGGAGCTACCTTGCCATCCGAGTTACTGTCCCCAGCGTGATTACGTTCTGGGGCCAGGGGCTCCTCTTGGCGGTACGAGCCGCTAGTCTAACGCCGTCTTTCGTCGCGCGGTGCTTCTGCCTTTCTGATCGTTCCAATCTCCGTAAAGCCGCTTGGGCAACTTCTATGCTTGTCCGCTTTGCTTTCCGTACGGAGGTCCTCTGTGGGTTTGGAGGACTCCGGCTCACGTGAGCAGGGCGTCCTCCAGCGTCTGATTCAGCTACACGCGGGCTGCTCCGGGGCATGCGTAGCTCACCGGTCGAGGCGCCCTCCGCGGAGTGGTGGCGTCCGAACCA